GGCGGGGAGGCCGCCGCTGGGCCCGGAGACGGCGAAGCTACTGTCGCACGGGGCTGTGGTGGCGGCCCAGGCGCTCGTCCTACTGCTCATCTTCCTGCTGTCTAGCCTGGGCAACTGCGCGGTGATGGGGGTGATCATGAAGCACCGGCAGCTCCGCACCGTTACCAACGCCTTTATCCTGTCCTTGTCCCTGTCGGACCTGCTCACGGCGCTGCTCTGCCTGCCCGCCGCCTTTCTGGATCTCTTTACGCCGCCCGGAGGCTCGGCGCCCACTGCCGCCACTGCCGCCTCTACGGGGCCCTGGCGCAGCTTCTGCGCTGCCAGCCGCTTCTTCAGCTCGTGCTTCGGCATCGTCTCCACGTTCAGCGTAGCCCTCATCTCGCTGGACCGCTACTGCGCCATCGTGCGTCCGCCGCGAGAGAAGATCGGCCGTCGCCGCGGGCTGCAGCTGCTGGCGGGTGCCTGGCTGGTGGCCCTGGGCTTCTCCTTGCCCTGGGAGCTGCTGAGGGCGCCCCTGGAGCCCCCGGCGGCGCAAAGCTTCCACGGCTGCCTGTACCAGACCTCCCCAGACCCCGCGCAGCTCGGCGCGGCCTACAGCGTGGGGCTGGTGGTGGCCTGCTACCTGCTGCCCTTCCTGCTCATGTGTTTCTGCCACTACCACATCTGTAAGACCGTGCGCCTGTCGGACATGCGTGTGCGGCCGGTGACCACCTACGCGCGCGTGGTGCGCTTCTTCAGCGAGGTGCGCACGGCCACCACTGTGCTCATCATGATCGTCTTCGTCATGGGCTGCTGGGGGCCCTACTGCTTCCTGGTGCTGCTGGCTGCGGCCCGGCAGGCCCAGGCCGCGCAGGCTCCCTCGCTCCTCAACGTGGTGGCTGTCTGGCTGACCTGGGCCAATGGGGCTATCAACCCCGTCATCTATGCCATCCGCAACCCCAACATTTCGATGCTCCTGGGGCGCAACCGGGAAGAAGGCTACAGAACTAGGAATGTAGACCTTTTCCTGCCCACCCAGCGCCCGGGTTTGCGGGCCCGAAGCCGCAATCGCCTTCGAAACCGCTATGCCAACCGGCTGGGACCCTGCAGCAGGATGTCCTCTTCGAACCGAGCCAGTGGTGCGGGAGGGGACGTAGCCATGTGGGCCTGCAAAAATCCAATTGTGCTTTTCTGCCGGGAGGGGCCAGCAGAGCCTGTGACAGCAGCGGCCAAACAACTTAAATCGGAAGCCGGAGATACCAGCCTCTAAGAAGGATTGTGAGTCAACGCTCGTGGAAGCGAATTTCCACCCCTTTCATCTGGTGATACAAGATTCCAGGGGAAAACATGGGATTTCATAAAGCCAAACATTTAAAAGAGACGGGGGGAGGCTTACCACTTCCCCCAAAGGGCTCCATAAAAGACAATGTTCCCTTCTTCCAAAGTGCCAAAAGGAATGTAAAAATTAAAACAATCTTAAACCACACAACCAAACATTGTGAACTGTAAGTGCCAAAAATGAGAAAAATAAAATCCACAATCAGTGAAAAGCTCATATTATAGGAATTACACTGTGAAACAAGCAACAACAGCAAAAAAGCATTGAATGCGACTAGCATTTGTTCAAACACAGGTTCAGGAATGAAGGAGACCCTCAGAGCGACTTGAAGGTCACTCTAAGTCACCAGCATCCACTAACACTTCAGATTCCTAGAACTTGCACCTCTGACATAGTCTTTGGGTGCTTAGGGTAGGAGAAGTAAACATTTTATCCTTAAACCCTTTGGTGCACTTTCCCCTCCACCATATTCTTTATGGGAAATTTTAAATTCATACCTATTTAAAAGAATTTTGAGGTTTTGAAAAGATGATTTATTCAACATTCTCTGAAGAACAAATAGAATTATGAACATAAAGAAATGTGACTTTTTTTTTTTAAGTATTCCAAAATTAATGTCCTCCCACCCCCATCCTAACCCCCAAATTATCTGCCTTGGAAAGCTTTGCAGCTTTACTCTTACTCGTTACTTTTATTTCTGATAATTTTTGGAATGCTATTCTTAGAATACTTCACGTTTGAGAAAAAAAATGTTTCATAATGGACAAATATTTTTGGATGCAGCCAAAGATGTAATTTGAAGTCAAGTTTTGAATAAGGTGAGTGATGCCACTTTTTTTTTTTAATAAAAAAAATAAAAGCTCCATAAAGTAGCAAGATTGGCCTCCCTATGTGGCTTATAAATAACTTGAAGACAATTCCAAAAAGGAATTTTAAAAATATTTTCAGTAGTGGCCCCATTCTTGGAATAAGCATAGAGTTTTCAGGAGGATCATACTCTCCTACATTTGGAAATTTGGGTATGTTTGTTAAAGAAAAGTGAATCATTGCTGTATAGACATGACTTGTCTATAATAATGCAGTCTTTATTAGAAAGGGAGAATAGGTATGAGACGATAATATGTAATAGGGTATTAAAAACAAGCATAAAGTTACAGAGGCATTTCAATCAAGCTGAAAATAGTATTTTCAGAAATGCACAAAACAAAGATGCTTGTTAAAATAATTCAGAAGCAAATTCAGGACTTGTGTGTATGAAATTTCTCACATTAGTGCGACTGTACACAGAATCATTTACTTAGATATTTAAAAGATGTTTTCATTCTTCCTCTTTCCTCCATCCTGCCCCACCCCGCCGCCCCGCCATTTTTTTCAACATTTCATAGCCTTAACTGACTCAGTACTTTAGATATGAAACAACTTCCGGTATCATCTGAAAATTTAATGTGAAATAGCCAGCATTTTTTTCTTCTTGTAAAGTATTTGAAGATGTTTGATAGTGTTTAATTATTTGTGTGACAGGGTGTATGTCATTCTTTTGTAATCAAAGATGGAAATACATGATTCATGTCAGAGCTAAAGATGTTTTAATTTTTTCCCCTTCTCAAGGCATCATCACAATCAAGTTTGTAGGTTATCTGTGTATATTTTGCCACATTCAATGTAGTACAAACTAGATGAGATAATCTCTCACTTCTAGGCACTTATTATTATGAAACATATTCAGACTTAACACAGCTGAACTAACATTTAACAGGTATCTACAGTATTTGCCTGTTAAAGGCAAAAATGTAAGTGCATTTTGTGGCATTATGAGAAAATGGATGTCACAGCTAGTATTCAGGAAGAAATGATAAAGTCTTCCAATTCTGAAAAATATCAGAATAGGAATTCAGCAACTGTGACTAAAGGGCAGAAAGACTTAGAGATCTTAGGGGAAGGGGGTGAGCACACTGCAAAATAGGATATTGCCTGAGAAGAAGAATTGGAGGAAGGTGTGTTAAAGGTAAATATGAGTGACCCAGTGACCTATTGCCGTCAAGTCAATTACAACTCATGGCGATCCTATGTATTTCAGAGTAAAACTGCTCCACAGGGTTTTCTTGGCTGTAATCTTTATGGAAGCAGATCTCCAGGCCTTTCTTCCACAGTGCTGCTGGGTGGGTTCAAGACACCAGTCTTTAGGTTAGTACCCATTGCCGTTGAGTCCATTTCGACTCATAGCAACCCTATAGGGCAGAGTAAAACTGCCCCAGAGGGTTTCCAAGGAGCGCCTGGTGGATTAGAACTGCCAGCCTTTTGGTTAGCAGTCGTAGCTCTTAACTACTATGCCATCAGGGTTTCCAATAGATTGAGGAGCACCTGATGGATTCCAACTGCCAGCCTTTTGGTTAGCACCTGTAGCTGTTAACCACTATACCACCAGGGTTAGTAAAGAGCATACCATTTGTGCCACCCAGGGACCATTAAAGGTAAATATGGCATGCAATAAATATGCCTGGTGAATGAAGGGAAAATCTTAGAGATTAGAAGTGACAAGGTGAGGGCATGAAGGACTTTAAGGCAGAAAAGAAAGTTCCACCCTACTTTTCAGTGGTAGGAAGTTTTAGGAAAGGGTGGCTTGGAGAAGAGATCATTCTGTTAGTGGCTCTAAGAATCATGGTTGGCAAGATTGGGAGGGGAAAGTTAGAAAGCCACCAATAAGTTACTAAACAATTCATAGTGTTTGTTTGTTTGTTTGAAGCTATACAACTAACCAGTGGAAAAACTAGGATTTAAACCACAGTCTGTTTGGCTGCAAACCTTGTTCCCTCATCTACTTTCTGGGGTCCCCACAAAGGTCTGTTGTTAGGGAAACCAAGGATGAGAAGTGGTACTGTTATCATCGTCATCATCATCAACCAATGTTTTTGTCTCCTACTTTATGTAGGGCAACTTCTTAGGTGCTAATTCTACTAGAAGGGACAAATCACAGTACCTGCCTTAAGGGAGCTTAGAGACTAATTGAGGAGCTTGTGTTTTATAAGAATTGGCCACACCTAGGACTGTTTAGGAGCCCTAGTGGTGCAGTGGTTAAGAGCTCAGTTGCTAACCAAAAGGTTGGCAGTTCAAATCCACCAGCCACTCCTTGAAAACCCTATGGGGCAGTTCTGCTCTGTCCTATAGGGTTGCTATGAGTTGCAACCGACTCAACGGCACCTAACAACGACAACAGGACTCTTCAGCTGTGGAGAGGAAAAGGTGCAGCATTTTCAGAAGTGGTTATCAAAAAAAAGGAGATGAATTTGGAAGCAAAATATATATAGAATAAACGCCAGCAAACAATCCTGGTTCAGTTGTAAATACTTAGACACAAAAAAATCAATGGCTTAAATAGAAGATGGAGAAAGAATGACTCAAATCTAAGACTTAGACCTTTCCTCATGCTAACTATGAGTGCATGATTATAGTGCCTACGTGGGGAAAGGGGAAATGGAAGCTATGAAATATTGGTATGTATTCAATTAAATATTAGGTAATATGTAAAGGCCAGAATAACCCTTTGTGTCTCATTCTGCTCCCAATTTAATTCATTTAGATTGCAATAATAACAGTAACAAGTAATACTCAGTATAGTACATACATTAGCCCATTTAATCCTCAGACCAACCTGATGAGGTGAGTACTATGATTATCACTCCTCCATTTTACAGATAAGAAAATTGAGGCACAGAGATGCCAAGTGATTTGCTAAGGTCGCACAGTAAGTGCTAGACATAGGCTTCATACCTGGCAGATTGGTGCCAGAAGTCCTCTCTTAACTGCTACACTGTACTGCCTCTCTAATTTGTAAAAGGCAACAGGAAACCTGGAAGAATCTAGATTAAAGTGATGGGAAAATAGATATCATAAAGTTTAGAAGAAGAGCTTTGTTTAATTTGTAGAACAGCAATTTAAGATGTGTGTTTTTATTTATTCTTTATTGTAAATATATAGGTAAGACGGGTACTTTTCAAAATATGCAAATAGATTCTGAGCAGTTTCACTCTGGATGAATTCCAACCCTAGATGACCTTAATCATCCATCTTCTCCATTCCTGCTCTAGGGCAGCTGAGCATAGCTGGAGAAAAGTTTCAAAGTCAGGTCGGTTAGAAGCCTCTTTATTGAGAGTCCACCGACTTGCCTGAGCCCTCCACTGTGCCTGCAATCTGAACCTTTCCACTTCTCAGCTTACTCTTTTTCTCTCAAGTACTTCAGTGACCCTTCAAACTTATTCCACTCAAACTTTTAACCAAATTCCTACACTCTTGGAAGATGACATTTGCACATACAAGGAAACTTCAATAAGATTAACAGCTGACTTCTCATCAGAAACAATGGAGTTCAGGAGGCAGTCGGATGACGTATTCAAAGTGCTGAGAGAAAAAAAAAAAAAGCAACTGCTAACTGTGAATACTACATACAGGAAAAAATACCTCAAGTTCTTGCCTACACCTGACCCCATCCACCCTGTTCTCACCTCTTTCAGGCAACCATTTTTTATTGTTTTCTAGTTTCTTTATGCAGATACAAGCAAAGGCATATTTTCTTGACATTCTCCATCTTGTACACAAAAGTTAGCATACTACACGTTGTTCTGCCCCTTGCTTTTTAGTTTAACGATGTATCTTGGAGATTTTTCCACATAGTACATTGAAAGCTTTCTTGTATATATATTTTCTTTTTTTAACAGTGGTGTGGTATTGCACAGTGTGGAGATACCAAAATTTAGCCAGCCCATTCTGATGCATACAGGTTATTTCAAATCTTTTAATATTAGTAAATGATGCTGCAGTGAATAGCCTTATACATAAGTCTTTTTGTATGTGTGCAGGTATTTCTATAGGGTAGATTACCATAGGTAGGAGTGATGACTCAAAGGGTAAATACATCTATACTTTTGATAGAGATAGCCAAATTACCTTTATACATTTTACCATTTTTCACTCCCACTTGCATGTTATAAGTATGCTTGTTTCCCTACAACTTTGCCAATAGAGTGTTTTTAGATTCTGTTTTTGGACTGTGACCCTCAACCAATTGGTCATGAAGTTCATCGTTGTAACCAACATTTAAAATAAAATGAAATCGTATAGGGTAGAATAGAAAATATAAGACTGCACCATATGTTGTTTGGTGGTTTTAAAGTATGCCCACAAATTCTTTGACATGCC